GTCACAGCACCTGGTCAGAGCCAGCACTGGCAGGAAGGGGATGTCACAGCACCTGGTCAGAGCCAGCCAGCGCTGCAGGAAGGGGACGTCACAGCACCTGGTCAGAGCCAGCACTGCAGGAAGGGGACGTCACAGCACCTGGTCAGAGCCAGCGCTGGAGGAAGCAGCGTTTGTCCTTTCCCCTCTGCCTGGGGCTGTGCTCCCCCTGTGCCTCTTCCTGTGCCTTCACGGCTGCCCCTCCCCTTCCCTGGGAGCAGTCGACTGCCTGGACACGGGCTGGGAGCGGGACAGCCTTGGGCGGGAACTCACCTCAGCCCTAAGCGCTGCGAGGGCTCGGCCAGCCTGGCCTCCGCCTGGCCTTTGGTCTGCAGTGTGAGGAGATTGACAGCAGGTGCTGCTGGTCCTGAGACAAGGAGAGGGTCCACATGGAGAGGCCCTCAGGGACCAGCACAGGAAGAGGCCAGACAAATGGCATCCTGTTCCTAGAGCCCGGCTCAGCACCCGTGTTCTGTCCCGGGGTGGAACACTGCTCTCCACATCTGCAGGCCCATGAAGGGAACAGCTGGAGCATGAAGGGACATCAAGACTGGAGAGAGGAGCCAGCGGGTCCTGCAGGAGCCCGGGACGCCGTCCAGGGGTGAGCCTCCCCCAGGCTGTATTGAGGACCCACCAGGCCACAAGCCCCCTGTGCGAGAAGCCAGGGCAGTGCGTAGCCTGCTTTGTCAGGTAATGAAGTCCTAGAGTGGCCCCATGGCCCTGCTCCATCCTCATGGACACCAAGTGGACTCTGCCCAGGACCCCAGCGGCACTGTCCCTTGGCTCTTATCACAGCTGCAGCCAATCTGCATAAGTCAGGAACTGGCGGCAAGCACACGAGCGACCTCACAGGCTGGAGGTCAGGTCTGGCTGGGCCTAACTCCGGGCATGGGCGGGGCACCCCTCGGAGCTCTGAGGACCCTCCACTTCCGGCCTCCCCTGTCCCACAGGTGCCCAGCGACCTCGGTGCAGCATCTTGGTCTCATGCGACCTCTCTTCATCGAGTGCCTGCCCTCCCTGCACCTCTCCATGGCCAGCAGAAGTGGCCCCTTCAGCCAAGTCGCAGCTGCAGGAACAGGGCCCGGGAGCTCCAGCAAGGAGCCTGCAGGAGCTGGGAAACCCTCGGGCATCGAGGCCCTGTCCCCTCAGGGTTTGCCCCTGCAGGGAAAGCAAAAGTCTCCAGGAGCAGGACAGGCCTTCTTCAGATGCCCACCCTCAGCCACATGCAGCCTCCTGCCCCCAACCACTGACTGACCCCTCAGCCTCACCTCCGGCAGGCCATTCCCTGGGGGCCAGGGCTGGCGGAAACCCTGCCCGTGCGGCAGTGGGGCAGTGTCCAAGCATTCAGAAGATGGAGTCCTTGTGCCCTGACGGTAGGACAATTGTCACCAGGCCAAGCAAGCTGTGGGCAGCCTGCGGGTGCCCTCCTGCTCAGACCCAGAGTGGGGAGATGACCACAGACTCATGGCCCCAGGAGCCAGGCAGCTACAGAGCCCCACGCCCTGCTCGTGTCTCTGGATGAGTGCCAGTGCCTCACTGCGTTGGGACCGCGGGAGCAGGGGACGGCCAAGCCCCTCAGTCCCCGCCCTGCTGCCTGGCACAGGCTGCAGCTCCAGCCACTGAGCGCCAGGGTGACAATGTCTCACTGAGCAAACCCTGGTGGCTTCAGAGGCTTTCCAGTCATGCTAGTGGCCTAAAAACTGTGTTCCACGTCACCGGGGTGAACGGCTTCCCATCGCCGCGGAATCCGCTGCAAATACTGTCAAAAATCAATGCTGAGATCCACGGAATCTCTTGGCGAGGTTCACAGAAAAGCACAATCTAATGGTGGGAAGCTGTTTCCAGCACCAGACAAATAACGATCGCACGCATTTCAATTCCCAGCGGCCGCCTCGTGCGTGACTTCAACACTGGAGCAGACGCCCGCCTGGCGTCCACCCTGTCACACCTCTGGAATGCCCACCCCAAGCCGGGCAAGCGAGGGACCGTCAGGCCTGCTTCCTGCTCTCCACCAGACACCGGGGAGGACAGGCCCATCTCCTGGGGAAGCAATGTCCACAGCCTCGGGAGGGAAGGGAGGCGACGGCTGTGAGATGTGGGAGTGGCCACAGTTGGTGTGGGGACAAGCTTGTGGGGGCAGAGGCTTGAGAGCTTGCAGCCTGCAGTCACCCACTGGAGCTGGGCAAGGGCCTGCTGGCCTCCCAAAG